CCGTTGTAATATGATGCCCTTAAACCCAATTTTAGTGATTGAAATTTTTTATTGTTGGGACATTGATTTTATGGGACCATTTCCTCCTTCTTTTGGATATCAATATATTATTGTGGCAATAGATATGTGTCAAAATGGGTAGAGGCAACATCTTGCAGGAGCAATGATAATAAGACGATAATTAAATTTCTCAAAGAAAATGTGTTATCTCGATTTGGTATACCACGTGCTATCATTAGTGATTAGGGTACTCATTTTTGCAAACGTTCTTTTGAGGCTTTAATGAAAAAATGTGGAGTGGTACATAAGATCTCTACTGCCTACCACCTTCAGACAAGTGGACAGGTAGAACTTACAAACAGAAAAATTAAGCAAATTTTAGAAAAAACGGTAAATCCGGATCACAAGGATTGGTTTTTGAGACTAGTTGATGCGTTTTGGGCCTACCGTACAGCTTTCAAAACTACCTTAGAAATGTCACCTTATAAGTTTGTTTTTGAAAAGCCTTGCCACTTACCTGTAGAGCTCGAGCATCGAGCCTGTTGGGTCATCAAACATTTCAATTTTGACATGGGAGAAACAGGTAAACTTAGAAAATTTCAGTTAACCGAATTAGAGGAGTTGAGAAATGATGCTTATGAGAACTTTAAAATCGATAAGGCTAAAATGAAAACATTTCATGATAAAAATATTTTGAGAAAAACGTTTAAACCTAATGATCGAGTGTTCTTATATGATTTTAGACTCCATAAGCATCCTAGAAAACTTAGGTCTAGATGGACCGGCCCTTTTATAGTGAAGAATATTTTTGCACATGGGGCGGTGGAAATAGAGAATCTTAAGGATGGTCAGATCTTTAATAAAATAAATGGTCAACGCTTTAAAATATTAATTGATAGGCAAGTTACAGAAGTGGAAGACATTCCACTTGAGGATCCGGTCTATCAACCTTGACCACACCACACAGGTTAAGTTTATTTGTCAGGTTACCATCTGTGGTGCTTAACGAACTATTCATGTCACTCATCAGGTGTATTCTACCTTTTATAGTTACTCTCCATTCAAATTTGATTTTTAAACATTGAGGACAATGCTTCATTTAAGTTGGGGTGGTGGTGGTGCAAATTCAATATTTAAAATGCTTGTTGAAATTCTGTGGCATATTTTTATGTGTGAAATATTTTTAATTTTACATCATACGTGCATCCTTGTCACATGTGTATTTATTCTCATTCATAACCATCTTTATGAATTCTCCAAAATTACCATAATCAATTTTTTGTCTGAAGCATTCACAGAACCTCTAATGCACTCATCCAAGCTTTGTGGTAAGATGGTGGTTTGACACATGTAGCTAAAAAACTCTTTTGCTCAAGTATTCATATGAGTTTTGGAGAGGATTGAGACCTACAACTACAATAAATTGTGATAAGCGTTCATTGATTTGTTGAACTGGGTACTTCTTTTGAGAATATCATTACATGGTTTGTGGTAAGATGATGAAGGTCAACGTAGGACCAACGTTTGAGCCTTTCAAGCTAACCCTTTCCACATTAAACCCCTAGTAGCCAACTTTGAACCAATAAACACATGCAACATTTTCTTTTCATATGCCTACATTATTCATACCTCTCCACATTGGAGTATAACATATACACTGATTTTTCCTACCCTTATAACATCCGTGTGTACTAGATGTGGAATTTTTTTTTTTTTGAAAAAAAAGAGACAGAGAGAGAAAAGGGAAGAACACGAGTTATAAGGTGTTCAAGTGAGTGAGCCGCAAAAAAAAAAAAAACCAAGGCTGGGTAAAAATAGCAAAATACTGTGGTGATATAATTGTTCACCAAATTACTTCCAAAAAAAAAAGAGCAAAAAAGAAAAAAAAAGGAAAAAAAAAGAAAGAAAGAAAAAGAGGCATTATTTGATGACTTGAAAGGTTAAATAGTACATTAAGTGAGAAATATAGTTTATTGATATAACCTCAAAACCTAAGCCACATTACAACCTTTTGTGTTGACCGTTTTGATCCTAAATAAGATTTTGGAAAAACGTGGTGGAAGTCTCACTTGTTAGTATTCATATCATAAGATCAATGTTTGCATGTTGCTTGTACAAAATTGTCTAATTCCCCATGAGAGTGTGTGCACACCCATTGTCAACTCCATAGAGAGAATTTCCACACGAAACACTTTTATACCTGTGAGTTATGGAGTTGAACCTTTTGCTTGAAATGTTCTTGATGTTACATGTGTCAAGGCTTCTGGTTAGATGGATATAGTTTGGAACACACATACACTCTGTGGATTGCTTCAGGTGAATTGCTTGTGATGGAGTTATTGAATTTCTAAGATTGTTTTGATATGTTAATCTAGAAAGTGTGATTTGGTGACGTTTATGTGTGATATTCTTTAGTTTCTTTCATTGTTTCGACATGAAAATTGCTAGGGAATAACAATGAGTAAGTTGGGGGGTGTGATGAGTGCGTGAAAGTATATTCTAAAAATCCTATTATTAGATTAAAATGCTAAAATATGAATAAAAATAATTGGATATAATTTATATTATTGAATTTAATATCTTTTCACATTGAGATATATTTGAAAATTATTTTATAATATTTTAAATCTTAAATATAGCATTATAGGTTGGTGGGAAATAATTTACAATGCACTTTACATTTAATATTTTTGAAACTTTATTATTGGACTTTATCTTCCTCAAATTATACAAGATTTAGGTTTTCGAGGCTGAAATAAAGAGGGGATAAAAATGCCTTTTCTCAAGAAAAAGGGGGGACTTTGATTTTTAAGAAACCCTTGCTTCTTCCTTGGTGTGTGGCAGATATTGTTTTTTGTTCCTCCTTGGTGTGTGGCGGCTGAAAGAATAGAAAGAAAAGAAAAAGAGGAGGCGGGGTCCAAGGCAGCAGGCGGATGCAGTGGAGGATCAGAAAAAAATGCCGATGCTCGCTGTTTTGCTCTATTTCTTTTGAGAGATTTTTGTTGTCCATCGTATTTATGGGTAATTAAATAGTCAAATAAGGTGAGGACTGAACTTGCATAGTAAATAATATTTTATTTATTTTTAATTTATGAATTCAATTTTCAATTACTAAGACTCTTTTGTTTTATCATTCTCAATTTATTATTGATGTTTTCTTCTCCGAGTAATCATATAATTTATTTTGTTTATGGATTCAGTCATGCTTTTTCTATTGAATGGTTTAGCTCTTGATTATGTTTGGACCAATTATTTATCTATATTAATTTAATTCTTTACTGCAATATTACTTTCTTGAATATATTGTCGTCGTTGAATTTTCTTAATAATGATAATAATTTATGTATTTTAAAAGTGGTGAATGATTTTTCAAAAGGTTACATTGTGTTTAATCTTGATTTATAAATCTATATCTTCCGGTTAGGAATTTTGGGAATTAAATTCTCAACTGCGTTATTCAATGAATTAAGACTAATTTAAATATCAGATTTGTGTAAGGGATTCCCGACGCTTTACTGTTTGTTAAATTGATACTTTTTCCGTTAGTCACTTTGCTTCACTTTAATTTGCATTTAAAATTAATCTTTATTCTCCAGTAATCATTTAATATTTTTCTTTAGTTTCTTTGTTCATTCTATTATTCTTTTAATTTGTCTCTCTGTGAAATCGACACCTTAAAGCTGTACTACAATTATCGCGTTATTCTTTGAGCGTAATCAAGCCCCCACAGTTGTTGCTATTATTTATTATTATTATTATTATTATTTTATATTCACAATTGTTGCTATTAGCACTTGTCATCCTAGAGCAAAATGAGTGGACTACCTTCAATTACTTTAACCGTTTGCCATTTATTAGTATAATACAAAGTTTAATCGATTTACATATCTAATTCCATGCAAAAATTAGATTAGTTGTAGATTCTAATTTTAGATGGAACCTGTAAGGGATGAACACCGCTCAGGGGAGAATAGACCCCTTTACGGAAGGATTTTGAATGACCTGAGTTGAGTTCTCCAATAGTCTTTTACCTCTCGTCCCACATCGGGAGAGAGTCGTCTCCCCCCCTACCATATAAGTGAATACTTACTAAGGAGACTTGGGTCTAGACCCAGTAGTCTTTACCTCTTATCCCGTTAGGAGCTAGTCTCACATCGGTAGAAAGTCGTCACATCGATAGAGAGTCGTCTTCCCCCTTGCAATATAAGTCTTCACTTACTATGGAAGAGGTATCCACTAGGCACCTGACCACTTATATGGCAGGGAGGAGACGACTCTCTATCGATGTGGGACTAGCTTCCAACAGGACGAGAGGTAAAGACTACTGAGTCTAGACCCAGGTCAGTCGGAATCCTTCGTGGAGGGAGAATTTCCTTTACAAATCCCTTACAGAATCCACTTTCAATCAAATAGATACATTGAATTAGATCCAAATAACACTTTCTTTTCCGGAATCACTCTCACAATGGGTAGGTGGAAGCCACTAGGCACCTGATCACTTATATGGCAGGGAGGAGACGACTCTCTACCGATGTGGGACTAGCTTCCAACGGGACGAGAGGTAAAGACTACTGGATCTAGACCTAGGTCAGTCGGAATCTTTCATGGAGGGAGAATTTCTTTTACAAATCCCTTATAGAATCCACTTTCAATCAAATAGCTACATTGAATTAGATCCAAATAACACTTTCTTTTCCCGAATCACTCTCACAATGGGTAGGTGGAAAGCTCGTGATCAGCATACTAAGATGGGACAATCCACACAAATGTAAAGTAAATTAATGCAATTAAAAGACCATTTTACTAGAAAAATGACTATTTTTATCGATTTTTTTGTTAACCTCTATTACAGGGAGGTGGGCTACGAAGTTCAAATCCAGATCTTAAGATGTAACAACCGGGGTAGTGGCCATTAGGCCAACAACTAACTTTCTATTTTTATCGATCAGATATTCAAAATTTCACAAAAAAAATCAATGAAAAATCACACCTCCAACACCCTAATTCCAGCCTGAACCTCTAAAATTTTCTCCCTCATAAGTCTGACCAAACTCCCAATTATCCAGAGCAACATTGTTTGATTGAACCATCCTACCATCACTAGTTGTCACTTGAAAAGACAAACTCTGCCCTTGAAACTTTTCCCAAGTTTGCCAATTTTGCCCCCAATTTCTTGACATTGGCACCCAATTAGTCCTAGAACCCTTAACTTTCACAGACACAACATTCCCAACACCCCCCACATTATAAACTAACACAAGCATCCAATATGGATTTCCCTTGATCTCAAACTTTATCCCACCTCGTTTATTGCACATTATTCTCCGATAAACCACGGGAACTATTCCAGCCTTATATTGCGCGATTTTCAGGAACATGGGCATAGACAAATCGAAGTGTTTTTGAGGCGGGTTGCACCAGACTCCTTCGGTCTTTGTGTAGTTTGGAGGGCAAAAGTTGGTGGCGGTCACTCGAATTATGCCCGGGATGCACCAACGAGAGTCGTTTATGCACATTAGCTGGTAGCAAGATCCGCATGTGGCTCCTTTGTCGAAGAGTGCAGTGCTTAATGCTGTCGTCTCGAGACCATATCCTTGATCATGTAAGTTTCCATATCCACAAGCACCCCCTGAAAGAATGACCAAGAATGAAATTTTAGTTACTAGGAAAAAGACTTCTTGCAATCCAATTGCAGATATCATATCATTGGTATGTTGGGTTAGATGAGAATTTTTTTTTTTTAACGGAGTGGACATGAAATTCACATTCGCCCCTCTTGATTCCTACAATCAAAACTAGGCATAGATATACATGGGATTGAGAATCGTAAACATGCCATCTGATTGGAAATCAACACGAAATTTACGGTTTTGGGTTTAACTTTTTGATGGGTGCAGCTAGTCAATTGGTAAAAGCGTCAAATACATGTGTCATTATTGGATTGATACCATATCAACTAAGTTCAACACAAACTCGACTAAACACAATTTATATATGATTATAAATAGGTCATATATGGATAAAATAAACTTCGAGAGACGCACATAGTTTAAAAACACAAAACGAGACAACCCATTAACAATCTTACATTCACAATTAAAATAGGCTTCCATTACTTCAATTTTAAAAACTACTCCATCTTTACAAAGGTAAAATTACTCATACTCCTATTACACAAAAGCAACACTGTGACTTACCCATGGTATCATCACCATTCATGTCTCCATAGAATGTAGCATGAGCATAATTCCATCCATTACCATAAATTTGTCCCCTTTTATCTTCAAAACCAATTTGTCCCCTTTTATCTTCAAAACCAACCACCACATAAAGAACAGCCATTGCCATAACAGAGCGAGCCACAAACTGAAAGCTAGCCATTCAGGCACAAAGTTTTGTGTGTGTGTGTGTTTGTGTTGAAGCTCCTTACTTTGTCTATGGCTTTAATCAAGGCTAAGAATATACATTTTATAGGAAAAAAAATTGTATTGGGTATTAAATTAAAATTGGTATGTGTATAAACTTACAATATCCTAAGAGGGTAAGAAAATTATGGTACTTAATTGAATTCAAAGAAATTTGCCATAGCATAGGTTGTTAATTGTGAAATTGCAAAAGAGTGAATAAACTTCTAAGTTGGGTGATAAATTACCAAATCAAGGACATAAGGTTCCATAATAAAATTTGACATTTCTTCATTATCTGGATTTAAGGTGGATTAGGGGGTAATATTTTGTTGGGTTTGAATAGTTATCTCGATGCAAAATAGGTAACAAAATATATAATTTTTAGCAATTATGTTATTTTCTTGGGTTTAAATAGGTATCTCGGTGAAAAATAAGTAACAAAATAAATAATTTTTATCAATTTGGTCAATGAAATTTAATATAGCAATTGTTTTTGGTCAAACACTATTACAGAGGAGGGGACGAGAATATTTGAATCTGTAGTCTTAAGATTTAACAGCGAGGATATTGATCTTTAGGTCAACCGCTAATATGCAATTAGTTTTTATTAAAAATTAAGATGGTGATGATATTATGGGGCGGAGGCACTTTGAAGGGTGTGTTATGCATAACACTGAACTAGTGTCTTAGAAAGATCACAAATCTAGTAGAACCTACACATTGCCCCCTTAATTTTTTTTGAAATTGGGATAACAACCCAATTTGTTTTTCTTTGAAACAAATTAGTAGTCCACTGCTCGAGAAAACAAAATATTTTATTCTTGGACCGGATACAATAGAAGTGAAACGCCTTATTCTCGTATTGATAAATGGGAGAATCTCACTTTGCACTCCGAAAGATTTAAAATTTTTTATTTTGAACACTCAAATATTAGAGTTTTCACAGTGCATTCGCAATGTATTAAAAATGTCGCAATATAACACTTTTGTTAACTTTCATGCTTATTCTGTTAAAAATTACCCCATTGATGTTGACGAAATGAATAACGAAAAATCTAATCTCTAAAGATATAAAATAAATTTTTTAAAATCTTTCAAAGTGTAAAATAAAATTCGTCCTTAATAAATATTAACTTTGCTTTTATTTAATACATCTTCTAGTGACAATTACCCCCATAAAGTCTCGTTTTCGCAACGATTGTGGAGGGTTTTTTTAACCAAACCAATTCATACTATCCGAAAATAAGTGTATGCTTGGTAAGCTAATTACCCATAACTTAGTAAACATGATTAGATTCAAATGTTAAAGGATCCTAACCCAAAAATATTTTTTGCTTTTTAAAATAATCAATTTCTTGATAAGACGGAAGATGCTCTCAATTAGACTTTACAACATATTAAAGCATGTTTTTGTCGTAGACTCTTTGAGTGTGTGCATCAAGAAAAGATTGCTGAGAAATTTAGCATAGAATTAATCAAATATAAAGTATTTTTGCGATTTAAAAGAATGTCATGTTCCACTACAACATATGCTTGGGTAAAAATGTGCTGAATAAAATTATTTTCTGCCTTTTTTTGTTCAAAATTTGTTAATTTTTCCTCATTAATTTAGCATTTAATCTTCCTGTATTTCTTATATTTGGAATTTAGAAAAATTTTTGCACTGATAATTGTTTTTTTTCATGTCAACCCCCCCCCCCCCCCAAAAAAAAAAAAAACTCATATTTGTTCCACCACTGAATTGATATTTGTTCCACCACTGAATTGATATTCTTCCCTTTCCACATTATCCGGTTAATCTCCTTTTATTTTTTTAACCATCACTCTCCAAAAATCCTAAAAGAAAAAAAAAAGATTTTTTTGGCTGTGAGTACAATTTTTTAGGCTTATTTGAGAAAAAAATGCATGAATAAGTTGTTTATTCTATCACGTTTAATTTTAATAAAATATATTGTGTTTAGATATAAAATTCAAATAATCAAATTTTTTTACCTAAATACACTCCATTAAATTATGTATTCTTGATTGACAATTATATATCTAATCAAACATGTAAAGATTTCATTAGATTCTCTCACTATCTCTTCCCTATTTTCTCTTTATCTATCATTGATAATTTATTTTCCTTTCAAATATGTAAAAATTTGATTTATTTTTTCATCTCTCTCTCCCCTTATTTTTTCTCTCTATATTTACATCAATATTATAACAACACAATTACACTAATTAGTTACACCAATCAGTTACAATTGTCCTATAATACACTAAACAGTTACTCATGCATTATAATAAAACCAAACAATTACACAAAATTATAACACCAACAACCAATTTGTTACTCAGTTGTTTACATAAACTAAATAGTTGTACCATTTAATATCGCGACATTGTTACACTAATTATATGGACCAAATTTAGTATAATGGTAAAGTCTTTTGTGTAATGATAAATTCAATTTGGTGTATATAATTGGTATAACCATATCATGATACTAAGTAGTGTAACTCTTTGATTTATCATTACAATTGAATGACAAATTGGGTTGGTGTTATAATTTCGTATAATTATTTAGTATAATTATTTGGTTTATGAGAACACATTAATAACTGCTTATGTATTATATAATAATTGTAACCAATTGGTGTAATTGATTAATATAATTTTGTTGTTGTAACGTTGATATAAGGAAAGACAGAAAGGAAGAGATTAGGAAATAAGGGGAGTGGCAGTGAGAGAAAAAAAAAATAGGAGAGAGAGATTAAAAAATTAAATCAATTTTTTACATATTTAAAAAAAATAAATTATCAATGCGAGAGAAAGAGAAACAGAAAAAGAAATAGATAGAGAAAAAATAGGAAAAAAGAGAAGGAGACAGTAATAGAGAGAGAGAGAAGGAGATAGAGCAGTGAAGTAATAAATAGCCTTTTAGTATTTTTTCAAAAAAATGTACTTATGACCAAATAAGTTTCATTAATGTAGTTTAGTTCAAATAAGTCTAAATTTTTATATCGGCTTTCAAATTACTCAAGAAAAAATTCAAAAGCATTGAGCTTTAGAGTGTTAATAAAATTATAATTGGGAATCCGGTTCTTTTTAGAGAACTTAAGACATCTTTAACCCTGACTCAAATTTAAATTTGAGTAAAAAAAATCTAAAAAACTTGTTTTAACTTTTACTCAAATTTATACCAAATCAAGAGAGATTCTCTTTTTTTTTACTCAAATTAAGAGAAACTCAAATCCTTATCCAAATTTTTAATGGTGAGATTTCACCATCTTTTAAAGATTCAATGATCATCTTTTCTCTTATTTAATTTTGGGTTTGCCCTCATTTAAATTTAAGTTTCTCATTTTTTAAATTGGAGTTTGTCTATTGGAACTTTTTGTATCAAATCAAGTTTTTTACTCAAATACTAACTTAAATTTGAGTAAAATTTTGAGTTATGGTTGGAGATACTATTATAATGACTAAGTGCATAATTTAACTATTTTTGATGTTTAATACTATTATTATCTGTTTAGTAAAAAGTTAAGTCAAATTTTTTTAATAACAAAATGCCCTTATATTTATGTTTAAAGTAAATTTCAACGTGAAAGTAGTTTTCAAATCGGAAAACTAATTACCCCTTGATCTCTAATGGAGATCAGCCACTAAGATTTTTTTATCATAAGATTTGAAATTCAAATTCAAATTTTACATCATCATTTCCGGTGCTCCCACCTACACTAGAGAATATTCAATTCAATACAACGATGATATCATATCAGTATTGATGATATGACATTACTAGTCAATAATAAAATTTCAAATGGATAAAATAAACTCTATTTGAATAATTATGGGCTTAGATAGAAGATGAGCGAGTAGTTATTTGCATACAAGATATTATTGACTTGTCTGAGGATATTATTGACTTGTCTGAGGTCTATTTCCTTAGCTGTCTGCATATTATTAATTAGTGATACCACATAACATGATATCACCTTGCAATGAATATTTTTTCCACCAGCACCACCACAAAACTGTCGCGGTCCACGTATAATCTTCCTTCCATATAACAAGTATAAGCCCAATCTCTTAGCAAGGGTGGAGCCACGTGGGGAGGAGGGTGGGCACTTGCCCCCCTTGAGTTTTTCAATCTTTTTATTTATGTATTATTAAGGGTTGATAGATTAGTTAATTTGATACATTTGTCCCCCTTGATTTTGAAAATGTTTAATTTTTGGCAAGTAAGTGACCCATTGCATCCCCCCCAAAAAAAAATCAATGTTTTAGTTTCTGGATTGAGTAAATCAACAAAATAAATGTTGATTTTAACTAGTTTTCAAAATATAAAATGAATAATGATTTGTCATGGATAAAGTGGTTTTGTATATTGAAGAGAATTTTTAAAAATTTAGTTTATCATCAATACATTATAGACGAATTTTGAGATTTGAAATAATATCGTATTCTACTTTAATATGTAATTGATTTGAAATGTAATACCATAAGTGATTTTATGGTTGGTTGTTCATATTTTTTTAATTTTATAGTTTGTTGTTCATATTTTTTTTAATTTAAATGAAAATTTGTTTTACTATTTTAATAGTAATTTAATGTTGAATTCTAAAATATTTTTTCATGCATGGAAATGTTTTGTATAAGCCGGTGAAATTTTTTTCTTTAATAGTTTGCTCCTCTAATGGGAAATCCTAACTCCGCCCGTCTGTTAGTATTACTCTTTCTTCTTCCCTAAACTCCATTTCCACACCCTTCCTACCGCATATGATCTCTATGACCCCAAAACTGTAAACATCCACTTTAACAGTCGCAGGCACATTCTTCAACCATTCAGGAGCAACATACCTTCTTGTTCCTCTTATTGCAGCACAAAGTTCTACTCTGATCCATCATCAATGTCTCATGGCTGAAAATCCACCATTTTCATCCCACAATTTCAACTCTAATGGCTGAAAATCAGCCCCCGTCTCAGTCTTCTCATCAGGTGGCCAAAACCACAATTGTCATCGTTGGTGGCTCCCTCATGGTTTTCTCCACCTTGATTGCGGCGGCCACCACGGTCCTTCTCACGGTGGCCACTCCGTTGCTAGTTATATTCAGCCCGGTGCTTGTCCCCGCGGTAATCACTCTATTTCTGATCATTGTAGGGTTTTTAACTTCTGGCGCGTTTGGTGAGACTGCTACGTTTTTGTTGTACTGGGCCAGTACGCTACAGGAAAGCACCCGATTGGGTCCGAGAAGATTGATCGTGCCAGTGCGAGGATCGGGGAAGTGACAAAGGAGATGAAGGAGAAGGCTCAGCATCCTGGGCAGCAACAGACTAGGGGAAGGCAGGGTCTTTAGGCTGCATGCACATGCACCACTGCCACTACGATGTGTGTTTTTAGGTTGGTGAAGTGAATTTTGTGGGTTATGGTAGAGATCAATGGCTGTTTGTGAGCATTTTTGTTTGCTTGGGGTTTTCTGGCTGGTTCTTTTTATGTGGTTGTCGTAGTTCGGCATTTGTGTTTTGTTATTTGTAAGAGGTTTTTCATTATTTGTTTGAATGCATCATCATCAGCTGTCTATGATGTTTAAAAATGCTAAATGTGATACTTGTTTGATCCCCAATTTTATTTAATGTTCTATGTTACTATTTTTTTTCATATTGTTCACACTCCTATGCATGATCAGTTGCCCATGTTGTTTAAAAATATTCAGGGTATTCCTAATTTGACCCCTAATTTTGTTCAATGTTTTGAGTTATTACTTTTTTTTTGGTTGAACATATTACTATTGTTTAATATGCCAATTTATTACTATTGTTTAATATTCCAATTTTGCATCATCAGTTGCCAATTAATTTTGTTCAATGTTACTTTTTTTTGTTACTACTGTCTTCTCATCTTTGCATCATTAGTTACCCATGTTCATAAAAATGCTAAGTGTGTTATTGATTTAACTCCCAATTTTATTCAATTTTTTGTATTATTACCTTTTTTGGGGAGCATGTTACTGTTTTCTTGCCTATTCAAAGCCCATGTTACCAATTGTTCTCTAGTTAATATTCAATATTCATATTTTTTGTTTTGAATGTTACTATTTTCTAAAATGTTAATATTGAATGTTATGATTTTTTATATTTGAATGTTATTATTTTTTATTTTTGATGATGCATAAATCGATTTTATGCATCACCTATTGAGTGATTAGTATGGTTAATAAAATGCAGTAAGTATGATGGAGAACTCAACAGAAGCAACACACAGAGATATAATAGTTCGGTCAGGGTGACCTACTCCACTTTGAAGGGCTTTAGTTACCGGGGAGTTTTATCGTGGAGAGCTAGGATGAAAGCAATGAGAGCTCAAGTGAGTCAGGTGTGAGAGAAGATGCAAGATAGCCCCCATATGTAGATGAAACTTACAATTTATAGGCACTTCTTAACAGATTGAGGTGTCATATTCGTAACAAATAGACTAATTCGGTGGATGTGGCACAATTTTAGCAACGGATGGGGTAATTGCATGAAGATGGTGTGGAGATCTCTTTGTCAGTTGCAGACTAGATCTCAGGATGGCATGGTTGAGACTCTAGGATAATGTGGCTGACTCCTTGAATCTAGGATAGCGTGGCTGACTTCTTGACTCTAGGATGGCGTGGCTGACTTCTTGACTCCATGATATCGTAGTTGACTGTGCTCGCTTGACTCCATGGTGAGCCAAGCTAGGTCTCATCTGGGTTGAACTCATTAGGCTTTGTCTGGGCCGGGCTTATTACTTGAGTTAAGCCTTGTTCAGGCTAGCCCTATTATCCGAGTTGGGCCTTGTCTAGGTCGGGGCCATTACTTGAGTTGGACCTCGTCTGGGTGGGGCCCATCATTTACCCCCATGCCTTAAGCCCAATAGGATTTCAGGGAGAGGGCATTAGTAGGGATGTTTTATCTGAGTTGACCATGTCCCTCTAATTGGCCTTAAATTCTTTGGTTTACAGGCATTTTGTGGTTAAAGCTATTTTGACTTTCTCCTTTTTTTTAGCAGCAGATCACTTTAAAAAGGGCTCCCACTTCCTCGCAGCTTGTGGTGCTAGATGAGAGTGGTAAAGGGCGCTAGGAGGGGGCGCCAAGAGGCTAGGTGCTAGGAGTTGGGTGCCAGAAACAAGGTATTAAGAGGGGGTGCCAGAGGTAGGGTGCCAGGACCTTGGCTCCAAGAGGGGGCGTCAAGAGCTGGGCGCCAAGAAAGGGTTTCAAAAGCAGGGTGCCTGGTTGCAAGCAGCTTGAGTTCTAAGGGCGTACCTAGAGATGACAAAAATAAAATTACTCCAGCATCAAAATATCCAACATGATTACTTGATGAGAAAGGCAGACACATCAGGTTGTAGAGAAATAGCCGCTAAGCTAGAGGGAGACTGCTTGCATGAGAACAAATGAAGAGTTTGAGGGTTGGTCGTGGGACAACTGCACCTCTTAAGACTGAATTTTTGGTGACCCATGAGAGAGCAACTAAGTTGGAGGTAGGCTGACTGTGAGGCTGCCTGCACTAGAGTAGAGGTAGAGTGAGACCAAGCTGCTAACGACTTGTGAAAGAGTCGCTAAGTTGGAGATTCAGACTGCATGCGTGAGAGTAGAGGCAGAAAGAGGTCAAGCTTCCAGCGACTCGTGAGAGAGCTACTAAGCTAGAGATTTAGACTACATGCGTGAGAACAATGACAAAGTGAGGCCAAGCTTTTGGCGACTTGCAAGAGAGCTACTAACCTGGAGATTGAGGTTGTTTGCAAGAGATCATAGACAAAGTTAGGCCGAGCTTTTAGCTACTCGGGAGCCTCTCTCTCAAGAGACGAAGAAGATGAGGGAGATGGTAGTGAGGGTAGCCAAAGGGCGTCGCCAGTAATAGACGCGTGCCTATGCGGGCAGTGAGGCGCTGCACGAAAGGCACAAAGCCAATGGAGCATAAGAATCGGGCGCAAGAGGAGAGGGCTCTAGATGAGAGGAAGCAAAAATTAGGGGAACTACTTGAAGAGATAGGCATGCGTGATACAATGAGTGATTCGCCTAGGCTGGCAAGGCAGACACCAAGGCTAGGGTGGTGAGGGCTAGCTGGCGGGCGAGCACTGGGTGCAAGCACACAGACACAGACATTGGGCACACGGGCAAGGGCGCTGGGCGTCGAGGGTTTAGTGCTGGGCACCGCGAGCGTTAGGCGTCTGGACATTAGGCACCTTGGGCGTGGGCGCCTGGACGCTGGGCGTTGGTTGTTAGCACCTAACTAGGCGTTGGTGTTGTGCGCCTAGCTAGTGGTTGGTGGTTTCTATTTTTCGTATTCTCCTCTACGTGAGGACTCAACTCGTCTAGCTTTGATGACATCCTCAACATTCATATTTTTTTTTTATTTTTTATAGTAATTCTAGCATGTTCTTTGGCGAGTGCTTCAAAACTAAAAATATAAGGCAAGATGAGCGCAACCGTTCTGTGAAGGCTGTCTTGACGACTTTGTCATTTGGTTCTTTAATCTAGAGGACTTCCTCGTTAAAACGAGTGAGGTAATTTATTAGGCTTTCATTTCGATCCTGCTTGATACTGAGTAGGTGGGAGATAGACACCCAATGAAGTGTAAGACAAAGGACTTGCTTAGTTCTGCGAAAGACTCAATGAAAGCCAAGGTAAGCTTGACAAACCATTGACAAGTAGATCCCTTGACGGTGGTAGGGAAAACTCTGCACATGATCTCGTCTAGTATGTTGTAAAGTTGCATTAGGGATTCGTAGGTGTCAAGGTGGTCTAGTTGATCTTTGGAGCCATCAAAAGCTTCCACAATTGGCATCTTGAAATTTTGGGGGATAGGGTAGCTGACCACATCAGCTACAAATGGAGTGTCAATGTGCCTCACAAGGTAGTCGGCTGTTTTTGGTGCCCACGCCTTGATAGCGTTGAAAACGTCACCTATTTAATTTTGCACCTCCTTGATTTTTTCATCACATTGGTTAAGGACACCCTCTGAAAAACTATTTTAGTGGATTTTATGGTCCATGTATGGGTTTTTCCTCTTGTTTTTGTGCATATGAGGGTCACCAGCTCAGGAAGATAGAGCCGACACATGAAGAAGAGGTGCCTGGGCGCTGAGGGCGCCCTGCTAAGGGACGCCTTGGCCCTGGTGGCCTATTGGGCAGATTACTTGGGGTGTTTCTCCTCCAAGAAGCTGGGGCACAACTCCTTGAGGTTGTCCAGTGAGCATCAACTGGATGATCTGCTGGTTTTGGTTCACCACAAACTACATTATCTCTAGTAGTTGTTGTTCGGCTACAAAATTTGCCTCAACAATGGGGTTTGTAGGCAGGGGTGGGACCTCATCGCAATGTGGTGGATTATTGTCTTCCCCTTGTTGGTTCAGGGATTTAGTGGTGATCGCCATAGATACAAAAAGAAAGGTGATTGGATGAAAACTTAATCGTTTTTCATAGACAATGCCAAATTGATGATACACAAATCGGTTTTATTCACTACTTATCGAGTGATTAGTATGATTAATAAAATGTAGTAAGTATGATGGAGAACTCAACACAAACAACATACAGAGATAGAGTGGTTCGATCAGGGTGACCTACTTCACTTTGAAGGGCTTTGGTTGACGGGATGTTTTATTGTTGTAGGAGTGTGGAGAGCTCAGGTGAGTCAAGTGTAAGATAAGATGCAAGATGACCCTTATATGTAGGTGGGACTTATAATTTATAGGCATCTCTTAATAGATTGAGGTGCCATATTTGTAACAGTTAGGTTAATTTGGTGGAGGTGGCACCATTCTTGCAACGAACGGGATAGTTGTGTGGAGATGGCATAGAGACCTCTTTATCAGTTGTAGATTGGGTCTTACAATGGTGTGGCTAAGACTTTAGGATGGCGTGATTGACTCCTTGACTCTAGAATGGCGTGGCTGACTTCGTGGGGAGCTGAGCTAAGTATCATCTAGGTCAGGCCCATTGGACTTTGTTTGGATCGGGCCCATTACTTAAGTTGGGCCTTGTTTATGCCAACCCTATAATCTGAGTTGAGCCTTGTCTGGACCGGGCCCATACTTAAGTTGGGCCTTGTCTGGGCCTGACCCATCAATTTTGAATGTTATTATTTATCTCATATATATGAGATAGTAGTCCTAATCTATATATGTATACTAGTCATTACCCGTGCCTTAAGGTACTCTTAACACAAAAAATTCACCAAGCAAATGGGGCATCCAAGAATGTCTTAAATAAAAGAAGTGCAAAGGTTGAAATGGAGAAGAATCATATCACATTAATACAATCCCATAATCCCCATGAACTTAAACTAACACTATTAAAAAAATATTATGCCATACATTTCTTTATGGTGACTCTTCTTTCTGCCAAATGAGTGTTCATTTTTTCAACCTCTGACTAAATGTAATGAATATGTTGTCTAATTTTAAAAAGGAATATTATTAAGAACACACAATTAAATCATTGAATCAAATCCAACGAATCAGCCACATTGAACTACAAAATTTTCAAGAAATAGAAAAAAGCCCAATTGAACTGACATTGCCCAGCGAATCTGTTTGCAGCCGCAAGGATAATTGATTTAAATTCTCTGTCGATATGACTTCTCGGACGCTACAAAAATATTCTCATGCTACAATTAAACCAAATCAACAAAATCAAAATTTCATCACTTCAATTTTTTTTTGATTTAATTGACATTTTTGTCGATTCAGTGTCTATTTTGCATTATTCAAGTATTCAAAAAAAAAATATGAACATTAGCAAAGAGAAATTGATGCAAATAAGGAAAAAGAAATTTATAGTTGGTTTTGAATTTTTTTTTTTTTTTTGTGCAATCCGTTTTAGTCATTTTTTTATTGGTCATTATTTTTTTTATTAGTAATTAGCTTCACTTTGAATTTTTTAGTGTAATTGGTATCACTTGTTATTTTTTATTGGTGATTAGCTTGATTTTATTTTTTTTAGTGCAATTAATATCATTTGTTATTTTTTTATTGGTAATTAATTTGGATTTAAATGTCTAAAACCTGAAAAAAAAAATTTAACATTTAAATATTTTCTCATCTATAAAATCATAAAAAAGTATGTTTTGAGTAAAGAAGTTCAATTATGATCGTCAAGACAAACAATGAGAGAGTATGAGATAGAGAGAGATGGAAATAGAATAAAAGTCTAATTAGGATTGTCAAAACAAATAATGCAAAGTGAAAAAGAGTATGAGGTATTTATATATAGATAGAGAGTTATATGAGAGATGAGAGAGTGTGTTTAAAATGTCTGTGAGGGAGAGAGAGAGAGAGAGAGAGAGAGTTATATATATATGAGAGTTTGGTATATGAGATAGAGAAAGAGAAAAAAAAAGAGTTATATAAGAGATGAGAGTTTTAGAATTGTAAAAATGATGAAAGTTCAATTAAAACCGTTAGATCAATAATCGTCAAGCGATTTGAGCTGCGAAAAGTTAAATACAAAGAAATATAGTTACTTTATTATATAGATATATAGATAGAGAGAGAGAGAGAGAGAGTTATATGAGATATGAGAGAATCTGTGTTTAAAATGTCTGTGAGGGAGAGAGAGAGAGTTATATATATATATATATGAGAGTTGGGTTTATGAAATAGAAAGAGAGAAAAAAAAAGAGTTATATAAGAGATGAGAGTCTTAGAGTTGTAAAAAAGATGAAAGTTCAATTAAAACCATCGGATCAATAATCGTTAAGCGATCTGAGCCATGAAAAGTTAAACACAAAGAAATCTAGCTATTTTATTATATAGACTAGTCATTACTCGTGCCTGAAAACACTATATAACCCATAAAAAAAATCACAAGTAATTGTCCATCTTGAAAAACAAAGTGGATTAAAAACATTCATATCGATTATTTTAAAATGACCTGAAATATATTGTCGATCATATCATTCATATTAATGGAACTTTTCCAAAAATGTATAAAAAAAATTTGCCAAAACAATATCACATATACAAATACCTCGGGAAAAAAAATACTAATGAAATCTAATATAATTTATAATTTTTAAGTATTAAATAAAATCTTACTCATTTATAAGACATATGAATTTATCACCATTGTCACCATTCAACCGAATAACACAATATAATTATAAATTCAATTACTTGTTATTTTTTTATTGCTATTAGATTGGGCTTTGAATTTTTATTTTTTTTGGGTGCAATTGGTATCACTTGTTATTTTTTTTATTGGTGAATAGCTTGATTTTGATTTTTTTTTGTTTTTTCAGTGCATGGTTTCACTTATTTTTTTTAATTGATGATTACTTGACTTAGATTTTTTTTGTTTTTTTGGTGCAACTTGACTTTGCATGTATACAACTTGAATTTTTTTTTTTTAGCATTCAAATATTTTCTCATTCTATAAAATTACTTAAATATTTGGCTTTGTTATTTTTTTTTATCAATGATTAGATTGAGTTTGAATGTCTACAACATAGAAAAAAAAATTTATAGTTGGTTTTGAATATTGTTTTTTGGTGTAATTGGTTGCATTTATTTTTTTTATTGGTAATTAGCTTGGTTTTGATTTTGTTTTTTTGTGCAATTAGTATCACTTGTTATTTTTTTTATTGGTGATTAGTTTGATTTTGAATTTTTTGGTTTTTGTGATTAGTTTGGTTTTGAATGTCTACAAAATTTTTTTTAACATTTAAATATTTTCTCATCTATAAAATCATACAAATGTATGAGTAAGAAGCACCGAAAATAGCAATAACATATTTTACACATAACATTTAACAATAATAAAATCACGTCAAAACTGCAAATTTTGAATAAAAAAATACTGAAAATAACAATACACATTTAACACATAACATTCACTCAGTGATTAGCTTGAGTTTGAATATCTACAACTTAGAAAAAAAATTATAGTTGGTTTTGAATGTTATTTTTTGGTGCAATTGGTTTCATTTATTTATTTTATTGATAATTAGCTTGGTTTTGATTTTTTTTTTATTTGTGTAATTGGTATCACTTGTTATTTTTTTTTATTGGTGATTAGCTTGACTTTGAATTTTTTGGTTTTTGTGATTAGTTTGGTTTTGAATGTCTACAAAAATTTTTTTAACATTTAAATATTTTCTCATCTATAAAATCATATAAATGTATGAGTAAGAAGTATTGAAAATAGCAATAGTATATTTCACACATAACACTTAACAATAATAAAATCATGTCAAAGTTGCATACTTTGATTAAAAAACATTGAAAATAACAATACACATTTAACGCATAACATTCATTCACAAAAGTAAATGAATGAGATAGAGAGTGTCTGTAAGAGAGAGATAAAATTATATGAGAGATGAGAGAGTATGTATTTGGGAGACTGTATCTAAAACATCTAAGAGATATGATATATATATATATATAGTGTATTTAAAAGAGATATGAGATAGAGAGAGAAAAGTGTTATATGAGAAATAAGAGACTTAGAGTTATAAAAGAAATTAAAGTTCTCAAGCGATTTGAGCCACGAAAAGTTAAAGGTAAAGAAATCTAATTACTTTACTATATAGATAGATAAATAGATATTAGAAAGAGAAATAATTTTAATATTAGTAAAACTTCTAAAATTTAAGAATTTTTAGTTTTCAAATTTATTTTAACTACGTATAACTGGTAGAGATATTTTGGATCATGGAGATCAAAATAGACTTATTCCCCCAAAAAAGTTTTTAAGTGAAGTTATTCTCAAATAAGTCTTAAAAAATGGACTGACACCCAAATTTTTTGATAATAAACACCTCCAAACTTGAGGTTTATCTTTTATGATAGAGACAATTATGGTAACCAACGTTTACACCTATTGAGTTTTGTTAATAAATCACATAGAAAACCGCTCATGTATGAAAATACCCTTATGTTCATTATTCATACCTCTTAAATTTACCATTACTACTCGCTATTATTAATGGTAAATTGCACCTAATAAAAATCTTAAATGACCACTTTACCCTTTATAATAATCAAATTAAACAAATTCAAATAAAACTAAAATACCCAAACCCGTACCCTGGAAAACATATATGTAGATTATTCATGCCATTTTCTCTCTTGCTCACATTGCCAACATCCTCCACCCACCACCACTTCCCCTCCCAGATCAACCCCCACCTCACTCCCTCCGCCCTTTCCTGGCAACCCCTCTCCTGAAAACCTTTGTCCACTATCCATCAAGTCTACTCTTTGTGGATCTAGCAATTAGTTGACGCCTAGTCTTTTTGTTTTTCTTCTCTCAAATAAAAACCTCATTGACACCAAGCATGAGGGAGGCAATTGATTGTCTCCAAATCAGTGTAGTGTTTCACTCTTTCGGTAAGCACCCTTTCCCATGACAATGAAGCGCCTTTGGAATGAATTTCTTTGAAATAGTTAGTTTTCTAGTTGAGTGAGCTGTAGATCATAAATGATAAGTGTAGTTTAATTTAGTCAATCAAAAGCGTTACAAATGTTAATCATCTTTCTACACAAAGATTTGAGCAACTTGTGTCAACTTATTCATATCAAAAAAGAAATTACATAGAGATTATCAAAAGGATTGACAATACTAATCTAACCCTAACAGCCTTATTTCCAAAAAAAAACTTAAGAGGCTAACATAATTGTATACACAATGGTAATACATGGAGGAACAGAAAAACTAGAGGCCTTATTTGGCATGGCTATAAAAAAAAATAATGAATGTAAAAAATGTGTAGATATTAAACCCAACACTAGAAATTGCTAGTGTAGTCTCTTCCTCTTGTGATTCTTCCTAATAGCAATTTATTTGTCTGCAAAATAATAGGTAGAAATTAATACCCAAAAAAACAGTTAGTATCAAATACACCATGGCAATACCTCTAAGGGGGAGCACATGTTATCCTGGGTTTGCTGATCACTATGGACTTGATATAGAGTGCAATGGCAAGTTAGTCACCTCTTGGCCTTTAGTGCTACATCCCATTGGTAATCGGTACTCCTCCATTCTCCAAATTGTTTTCTTTGTTTTCATTGCGTTGTGTGGGGATCCTGAAAAATAAGTGAAATAGGTCTTGAAGGCAAAAACATCTCCACTTGAGTCATAGACTTGATCTTCTTCTCCCATGGATTTCCAAAACCCTATTCCATTTCCAACAATACGAATCTTTTCTCTTTCTTCATGAAAATATCCATCCTGATGAATAAAGAAATATGATTCTCTTTCGACGCACCATTTTCCCACTGGTAACATATAACAAATGACTATTAGTCCATGATTGTCTATGATAAAATTGAGAATTTTTTCTTAAAAAATAAAAGCTTATAATCACAACCATAAACCATGTCTCTCTTATAATCTAACAATCAGAGATGGATTTTCATGTCATAACCGTCATATCAAAATACATGTATTCCAAAACATAAAAATAAAAATAAAAATGCAATTGAAGGATGTTTATTCCATCATTATGCTAACAATTCAAAAATATATATACATATACATACATCTTATACGCGAGGGATCAAAGAATTACAGATGAATTTAATTGTGTAAATTGAAAACTTAACATTGTTATCACAAGAATTGAAAAATCTTGCGAAAACCATAATATTCTTGCAGAATTTATAGCCGGCCTATTTAAAAATAGAGTTTCATCACAAAACAATAAAAAAAAAGCTATTGAATTAACTGAACAAGCAAATACAAAAAGAATTCAAGTATAAATTGCATGAAAAAGAAATTGAACATGTCGAATGGATCACAAAAGGAAAAATTCCCCTACAAATCATTCGGGTTAAAATTGATTATTGTTCCTATATAGTTCAAACTATCTATGAGCATCAAAATTAAATTTGGATATTTATAGACGAAGAATTATAAACATTTACTTGTCTTTCCCCAAGAACAAAAAATGCTGAATTCGTTCATTTTTTTTCTATTCAATCAAAACCAAAATGAACAAATCTAGTTCTTAATTTTTGAATAAAAATTCAATTTATATAATTGCAGTGTTTGACTTGTTGGTTTTTTTTTTTAGGATTGTGATTCAATAATAATAATAATAAGACTATCTCCATAATATAAACTTATAACCATAGAACTAATACACAATTCATCAAGAATCAATCAAAATATGATATATCGGTCATATCATTGTAGCAACTGAAATCTTTTTTTTTTTTTTTACAAAAGAAAAAAATAAAGCAAATGAGAGAAAGAGAGAAAAAGAATATCAAAGATATTTATTACCATTGGATGTGGTTCCACCAATGATGCCACCACCATTATACCTAGATTTGCACATGCCTTAATGTTCGAAAATCTTATGATTTCAAGATATCATACAAAAAAATGCACCACATAAAGGATTTATGTATATCATATGAATTGAATAATATGAAAATAATCAACCTTGAATAATATGAAAATAATCAACCTAGATTTGAAGGAGGCTTGCTGTAAAGTTCCGTCGCGTCGATATCTTGAATAACATGAGCAGGTAGAGGCTTGTTATACACTTTGTTCTTCAGATAATGAGTGATAAGCTCTTCATCGGTTGGTAAAAACCGATAGCCAGGTGGATATTTTGTCAATATGTCATAATGCTTCTTGTCCATGACAACAACAATGATGAAATGAAAAATGAATATAAACAGTTTCTTCAGATCTTTCTGTACAGTGAAATTGAAATGAAAGATGAACATAAACAGTTTCTTCAGATCTTTCACTACAATGAAATGAAGAAGAAGAAGAAGAAGTACTATTGGAATTTGGAAATGAACGAATGTTTTCGATCAAAACAGGAGCATCTTCAACTTTTCAATGAAAGAACACAGAGGCCACAGGCCCTATTTATAGGAATTTTGCAGTTTGGGAAGTGTTTTTGCGTTTTTGGAATCCTTCTCCTAGTAGGAGTAAAACAGTAGTGTTTTGCACTGTTGCGCAATCTCTGCATGATGCAGACTTTTTCAATTGCATGGGATGATTTTGTCTTGTCACTGTAAGACAAAAACACTTGGATGGTTCTCGGAAGGAAGTTAAGACTTTTTTAACATGTTGACTTCTTTATATACTAGAAGTTTTGTGATAAAAGTTAGAACCAATTACCGATTACCGGAGGAAAAATAATTTTTTAATATCTTTTTTTTCTTTTTAGAAAAATTACGTCCAAATCTTTTAAAATTTATCACTTAATCACTTAATCCTCATAACATTTGAAATACTATACATAAACCCTTTGAAGTTTATACGTACGTAACACTTAGACTCATATCGTCAATGTCTGTTAATATATCTATTAGAAAATTACAGAAGATTGTAGATGTGTAACACTTAAATCTCTCAAGTTTAAAATATTACACTTACACCCTTTATTAGTTACGGAACTAATAGATTTTATTAAAGGATCAAATTACCCTAATAAAAAATAGAAGATATTGTGTTTATTACAGTTTGACTCCTTATTTGATTTTTCAATTACATTCCAATATACAATATAATTGTACGTAAATGAGCGTTAAATTAAGTTTTTGATATATATTTTCACTGATTACAATTTTTTTCTCAAAAAATTAAGATTTTGTTTCTAACAAACTATTGCGGAGATCATCCAAAATTTGGCATCAACAGTACTAATTATGATTTTTTAAAGAAAAAATTAAATTTTTAATTTTAATTTTATTTCAATAAATGACATAATAGAACATGAATTTTAGTTGTAATATTTAAAATATTTAATATTCTATCTTTAATTAAAGTATTTTTTGTCTAAATATAAGGAATTCAAGTAATAGATACTTCAAATGTCAGGGTTCTAGATATAATTTTCTAATGGACATTAACGGCAGAGATCTATATGTCACTCATGTACAAATCTCAAAAGTCTGTGTGTAATAGTTTAAATGATAAGAGTCTAAGTGATTAAATAACAAAACTCAGGAAGTCTAGGTGCCCTATTTTTTAATTATTTGTTTGTTCTAATAACAATACAATATATGTATATTATCACTGGATTAAATTAATTCAATCTCATTTGTTAATACCTAAATCAAACATGCTTGTAACCACCAAGGTGTTATTGTGGTGACGAACTTGATTATCCGAGGTTAGTAATTATAGCTCTAATCAAACATTTTATAACAGGTGAAAACATCAAGGTAACGTTCTAGTGGGATTGCTGTGCATGATCGCCCCTGACAACCTTTCGAACTAGCAAAAAAAATAAATAAATAAGCTCGTAAAGTTTTTCTAAATTATTATTTTTACGGCTATTATTAAATCAAAAGAAGATTAATGAGCACAAACCAAAGGCTATTAATTAATGTAGTAGGAAAAATTAAATTGAATATTAATTTGATCAAACTGAATATTAATTTGATGAAATTAAATATTAATTGGATCAAACGGAATGTTAAGTTGATGAAATTGAATGTTAATTTTAAAATTAATATTAATTTGATAAAATTAAATATTAATTAGATAAAATTGAATGTTAATCAGATAAAATTGAATATTAATATGATACAATTGAAAGTAAATTTGTTATTAAACTAAAGAAATGATATTAATTTAGTAAAAATAAACGTTCAAATTCATAAAATTGAATGATAATTTAGTATTGATTTGATGAAGCTGAATATTAATTTGGGATTAAATTAAAAAAGTAATGCTAATTTGATAAAATTGATTGTTAAATTGATAAAATTAAATTTAAATATGATAGAAAAGGTTAATTTGATTAAATTAAATTTTAAATTTTTGAAATTGAATATTAATTTGGTGTTAATTTGATAAATAAAATTTTAAATTGCTGAAATTGAATATTAATTTGGTGTTAATTTAATAAAATTAAAAATTCAATTAGAAGAGATTAAATATTAATTTAATGAAATAAAATAGTAATTTAATAAAATTTAAGATCAATTTCACGTTGGTTTGATTAAATTGAATATAAATTTGGTTGTTTTGATGGCAAATAATGCAGTAGACTCTATCGATTTGAATATATTAGAAAAATAATAAGTATATATAACTGATTAAGTCAAGTATAATAAGTAAAATTTGAACAGGTCTCATGCTGGATTTGGAAACTCAAGAATTTCACGAATCTTCAACTCTTAGAATTTGACTCCACGGTACCGAAAAATTGTTTATTAAAAGGATAATCTAATGCACACACTAGACAACTATGGGGTTGCCCTGGCCAAAGAGTGGCTACGCTACGCCATGGCAACTATGTGTTCGTTATTGCCCACTACGTGGGAGAGTTGGAGCAGCGAAACGCTCATAAGTCCAAGTTTTATGAATGAATTAGTTCAAATACTGCATTTTAACTAAATAAATACAAATTATGAGAATTTAATACTGGGGGATGAAAGTCTTTTTTAAGTTCATGGTCCAAAAATTAATTGGATATTCTTATTAAAGCTTTAAAGACAAAAAAAAAAAAAAAAGCAAACGACGAGTCTGGATCAATGATGTTACTTTACATATCCTTCTTATGTATCTTCAAACAATCAAGCTCAAAAAAATAGCTCACGGTAGGTGTGACTACGCAAAGCCAATGCGAGCCAAACCCACACTCCACCGTTCTAAAACCTTCGGCTTGGTCTTCAATGGAAGAATGGAGAGAGAATGATGGCACTAATTCTTCCAATATATCTCAGAGTTTTGTTTGAGATTGTCTAACTTGGGAAGAACCAAATACGTGTATTAATAGGGAGGAGAGAGGGTTTAGTGGAGCTCGATGTTATTAGGGAGATAACCACTAGTTTGAACTAGTCAAACTCTCTCAATCCACATACATCTTATTAGGTCATGTTTTTCTATGGGCGATCCAACCCAGCTCCATTTCCCAAAATTTCTACACATATAAATGTTTAAGACTCATTTAACAAATTTATATAATAAAGTAGAATGTATTTAAATTTTAAAAATAAAGAGTGGTTCAAATCATTTCATGACCAAAAAAAGTATCATCTAACGGACGACGTTATCTCAAACTGCCTCGAACTATTGACGTCTCAGATCATTTTTGAAATATTTTTGCTATTTAAAATTTATAGTTTCCAAAATTGATTTTCTAAAATTTAATTCCCTCAAATCTTTTCCTTAAATCAAGCAAATTTCTCTCTCATGCTCAATTCACGCAAAAAATATCAATTTGTCACAATATTTTTCTCTATATCTCACGAAAATATTAGATAGTGTCTGATTCAAGCAAATAATGCATCTCTCTATAGATAGATACTATATATCACAAAGAAATAATATATTACAAAAATATTTCTCTGTATTTCTTTCTAAAGGAAAATTATATAATAAATATTAGATATATAATATATCACAAAAATATTCTTCTGTATCTCTCTCTTTCATTCAAGCAATACAACAAAT